AGATATAGCTCCAATATATATCTTCAACCGATTTCGGGTTAATTGTGCACAAAATGGCCAATATAAGTCCTAATGGCCTGAATATGTTTCATCCGATGTGGAGTTTTAAGTTCCTCACATGCGTAATATGCACTCGAGAAGAATGATATTTGGCACCGGACATCAGACACTGCTCTTTGGCACCACATATCAGATACAGCTCTGAAATATGTTTGTCAAATTTTGTCAAGATCGGTTCAGATTTGGGTATAGCTCCCATCAAGAGTGAGATGAAAAAACTGCAACTAACTTCAGACTGCTGTCATTTCTAAGCCACTCGTCCGACATCTTTTAAAATTATTCCAGTGACAGCTCATTATATTGTTTACAAGTGAACAAAAGCACTTTGGTGAGAATTTTCCAGAAAAAGAGTTATTCGTGATGGAATTCAAGCGTGATAGTGTGATTTCTTTATATTCGGCTGGAGAACCATAAGTGGCTCTCGTTGGAACACTCTAGCATTTAAATGTGAATAAATCTTTTGTGTCTCATACCATCTCTCGTTACCGTGATACTGGTAGCGTAGCCCGACGTCTAAGAAGTGGACGAAAGAAAACAGCAACATCAGCAGAAATGGTTCGAAAAGAAAAGAAGCGACTCGATCGAAACCCGCGTCGCAGTGGCCGAAAAATGGCTCGTGAGCTGAAAATATCGCAATATTCCATTCGGAAAATATTGAAAAATGAGCTCGGGGTAAAGCCATTGAAATTCCAAAAAGTGCAAGAACTTACACCACAACAGAAAGAAAATAGACTGGAAAGAGCTAAAGGCTTGCTTAGCTTGTCAACTGCTGGTCAACTGCCGAATTTTGGTTTTCTCCGCTGAGAAAACATTCGTTGTCCAGCAGTTTGTAAACAAACAAAATGGTCGTGTTTACTTGCCAAAGAGGTCAGCTGAAAATGTGCACCTTCGGTAGGCCACCAGAACTCAAGCGCCGGCCATGGTGATGGTGTGGGCCGCCATAACAGCTGATGGTTGCTCTCAGCACGTATTAGTCCCACGGTCGATTAATGCGAATAAATGCCGCATATTATCGCGAAAATATTCTGGAGTGTGTATTAAAGCCTTGGGCACGCAAACATTTTGGCCGGAGACCTTGGACATTCCAACAGGACTCAGGACGAACTGCCGAATTTGGTTTTCTCCGATAAGAAAACATTCGTTGCCAGCAGTTTGTAAAGAAACAAAATGAGGTTAGCTGAAAATGTGCACTGTCGGTTGGCCACCAGAACTCAAGCGCCGGCCATGCTGATGGCGTGGGCCGCTATAACAGCCGATGGTCTCTCTCCACTCGTATTAATCGACCGTGACATCAGAATAAATGCCGAATATTATCGCGAAAATATTCGCGGGTGGTTTATTAAAGCCTTGGGCACGCAAACATTTTGGCCGCAAACCTGGGACGTTCCAACAGGACTCAGCACGCGCCATTAAAGAATGGTAACAACATGAGGTTGCTGGCTTCATTTTCAGCGCACAATTGCCACCAAAATCGCCGGATACCTCAAGCAAGCGCTTCGCCGGGAATGGACAAAAAAACCGCAGAGCAACATTCGGCCATAATTTGTGTCAAAGGTGACCAATGCGAATAAATCTAAACTTATTCTAAAATTTGATGCTATTTCCCTTACCACTATGTGGTATAGGTTATAAATATATCAAATGAAATGTTAGAGGACCTTTAACCCAAAAAGTTTTCTAGTCCTTTAAAAAAAAACATTTAATAAAAAGACATCATGTTCTGCCAAAAATAGTTCTGGCAGGCTAATTTTTTTAGTTTTGCCAAGAAATGTAGAAAAAATTGTTCTTGAAAAAGTCTACGATTTTCATTGCCAGGATAACCATGAAAACGCTTTATTAGGAAATCCATGTGTTGTTACTAGGAGGTCTATATAAAATCTCTAATTTATGACTTGTAGGGAGGTGGCTGTGAAAATGTTGAGCTTTTGTGGAGGAGGTACCTGAAGGAGTGGACCCATATTGTCCATCTCCGAACTCCACCTAAGTTTGATAATAATACTACGATGTACAAAAGTTGGACCAAATTAAATACTCCCTTCGAGAGTTGTCGTGCACACCAGCCAGCCAGACAGACGGACATAGATCGAATGTTCTGAAACCGACTTGGTCCAAAGAGACCTAGGGTCTAATGCGATTATTTCGATGAGTCACGTTTTAGCCGTATGAAATTATATATATCCTCTTTAGCAATAAGTCTCAGGGTATAAAAATCGTCTAGAAAGTTTTTGAAAAAATTACCGACCATTAAAAAGGACTTTAAAACAAATCCTCTATTCTAGAAAGGATTTCCCCGATTTTCTGCAATAAAATCTTAAAATTGATTTTCAAAGGCCATTGTAGAAAGTATTTTTAAAAACTTCACTATTAGAAGATATCTGGGAAGCCAATACGGGGTTTTTGTAAGATTTTTGACCAGGAAGAAGCTGTTGAAAAAAAATTAAAAACTGCACTATTTTTTGGCTAGAAATTCCTTAAATATATTTTAAAAAAGCAATTCTTGGATTTAAAAATCCATGGCTTTTAATAGAAATAGTCCTTGTAAAAATTTCTAACATTTGACAAGTTAATCTTCAATATTTCCTGAAAAGTCTGCCATTTTCGAAGGTCCCTAAAAGTTTGTTTGTTTATGAGAATCGTGCATTTAAAACTTAATATTTCACTTTTACAAGATCGCCAAAAATTTGAACACAGAATTCTTTCGGGCGTTTTCGATTCGAGGTGTCGTCATATGCTACACTTCTCACCACAATTTTGTGACGGCCCTCCATGTTTTGGGAAAAGCTGTACTTGGTGTTGAGAGCAAATGGCCGGTAGTGATAGATGTGCTATGGAGACAGAGTGAAAACATCTAAATCCTTTAGAATATCCAACATCTAACTTACACCGTAATTGTTGATACACTTGCGATCCCATTCGATTATGTGGCGACTCCAAACCGGAAAGAAAATTGAGGTTGGAGCAAATTGTATGGCGCAAAAATCATCTGTGTATGCCGAGATTGGGGTTGGCTGCCAGCCACCTTGTTGGAATTTTAACAATTCTGATCTGATCTAAGGGTGAGAGTAACAAAAATTTAATTTCCAAAATGCCTACATTTCTCCGTTTCATACAGTAATGCGATCGGTGGGTTCCACACCCTCCCATTTGCAGGTCATACTTCCGCTGACAAATACACGACCTTCCCTGTACACTATTGATAGGTTGGTCAAATCAAAATAATCGTGTATGCCCTTGCCGTCTAGCATGTCGGGGCATTTATCGAAAACTTCATCGTTGTCCAGAATAAATTCATAGAGTGTCCCATATACCAGGGCGATTGGCAGCAAGAAACCAAGGAAGGTTAGCACTTTTGAACGTTGTATTAACATCGCGAAAAATATTGATTCAATGCTCGAGCTGCTCTCAATTTTGGGGTTATATAGCCTGAACATGGCCAGATCTAGGGTTGAAATAAGATCATAATGATTGATCGGTAAGAGATGTTAATAGTTTAATTGTTTAAAAAAAAAAAACAAACTTTGTAAGATCATTATCGGAACACAGATTTTTCTCACGCGATACAGTGATTCTATTTTGCAAGTTCGGTTAACCTGCATTAATCGTAGCTGCATTTTGACTTTTGCTGACAAAAACAAAAAAAATATTTTTGACTGCGATCATTTAATTAAACAAAATACAGGGTGCGATAAAAAACACTGCCACAAAGTCAAAATTTTTACATGTTTTTTTAAAATTTATTGAATAAACGAAAAAAATGTCGGAACTAGCATCAAATTTTAGAATAAGTTTGGATTTTGTTCGAACTGGCCATCTTTGGCACAAATTATGGCCTTCAAACGGCCAATGAAAACGTCACACGCTGCCCGATTGTTGCTCTGTGGTATTTTGGCCCATATCCGGCGAAGTGATCGACACTTTGGTGTTTTTTAGTGCCAACCTTGCTTTCCAAAATACTCCAGACACAATAGTCCAACGGATTGGTATCCGGAGATTTTGATGGCCATTGTGCGCTGGAAAAGAAAGGAACCTCGTTTTGTAACCATTCTTGGGTGACGCGTGCTAAGTGCGATGCTTGTAAATGAGAATAGAATCCAATCTCTCTCTTCGATTGTCAACTCTAGATTTTTCCAGCGCCTCAATCGCACTCAAAAACATATACAACGATGCTGAGTCCTGCTGGAATGTCCAAGGTCTGCGACCAAAATATTTGCGGGCCCAAGGCTTTAATACACCCTCCAGAATATTTTCGCTATATTATTCGGCATTTATTCTGATGCCAAGGTCGTATAATACGAGCTGAAAGCGACCATCGACTGTTATAGCGTCCCACGCCATCATCATGGCCGGCGCTTGAGTTCTGTTGGCCAACCGAAGGTGCACATTTTCAGCTGACCTGAAACACGATCATTTTGTTTGTTTACAAACAACTGGACAACAAATGTTTTCTCATCGGAGAAAACCAAATTCGGCAGTTCACCACTTTCGGCCAAGCGAAGCAACTCTTTAGCTGTTTTGAGTCTATTTTCTTCCGGTTGCGGTGTAAATTCTTGCACTTTTTGGAATTTCAACGGCTTTAGCCTGAGCTCATTTTTCAATATTTGCCGAATGGAATATTGCGATATTTTCAGTTCAAGAGCCATTTCTCGGCCACTCCGACGCGGGTTTCTTTCAAGTCGCTTCTTTACTTTTCGAACTATTTCTGCTGATGTTGCTGATTTCTTCCGTCCACTTCCTTGACGTCGGAAATAGCATGTGTTCAGATTTTTATCTGACATGGAATAGTAAAACCAATTAGAATTTTAGCACCTCTGATTGAGGAAAAATATAATTAATGTTTTCAATTAAATTCCTCTATTGCTCACCCCTTGTGGATTTTCGAAGTATATAAGCGCATTGTACTAAAATTCGGTAGCTCATTCCATATCGCCAGCTTTTCCGTGATGATAAAACCAAGGCCCATCATTCTAATTTCGATTGTCTGCTTACTATATTCCGTCCAGCCTGCATATTTCGCTCTCTACGAATTCATTTTAGAAAATGACGAAGTTTTCGACGACTGTCCCCAAATACCAGGCAATCACGGAATCCACGATCTATTTGACATAACCAATGTGACATTGGCCTACAGTGAAGGTCATGTCACCGTTAGTGGCTGGGGACCCTGTGCATGGGAAGGTGTGGAACCCACCGATCGCATAGGTGTAAGATAATACATAATTATAAAACTTAAATGTTTTAAAGTTCTTCCTACGCAGGGTAGAGCCGAACTATTAAAATACCATCGCGGCACTTGGCAGCCAACACCAATATCGATAGCTGTGCCTGATTTTTGTGAAACATTGTTCGATCCAACATCAATGACATATCAAGTGTGGGGCCGCCACATCCATGAAAGTGAACGGAAATGTATTAACAACAACGGGGTAGGTCAGGAGGTAAAGATTTTCGTTTTATTAAAAATTTCTTTGGTTTTTCTCCATAGCACATCTACCACCATGAACCCTTTGAGGTGGACACCGTGTTTCAGTTCCCCTGGAATGTTGAGGAACGCCATAAACTTGTTGTCAAAGGAACGGCCTACGACTTGTGGAATCGGCCACGTCCCAAAGAAATATGTTTTCAAATTTTTGGCGAATTTATTAAAGTGAAATAATAAAGTTGGAAGTTGGATCGAACATTATGGGTCGATATTCTGAGAGTTTATATTCTTTTATTTTATTAAATCAAATCTTAATACTAACATAGGTTAAATGACTTAAACGCAACTGTACTACAAATAGACATGCATTTGTTACACGCCGTACTGGATTTAATCAAATCAGCCTAGAACATAATTCACTGATGGTTAAATTTATAAAATACAAGGAATTCTTGGACAAAACATCGTCTTTAGATGACTTTTTCGAGTCTCGATTGGATTCTAAACGGAAAAGGAAAACCTAAATGATATTGCTGATATTCTTCAGCCAACACTGATACTCAAATAATTTCTGAGAATGTACAGGGTTGCCCATATTCGACAAACCCATCTGGCAACGCCATAAATTTTTACAGAGATGTCACATCGCTTAATGACATACCGCGTCTGAAGCGTCAGTCCAAGCAGATTTTTACCATTAAACGTAAGGTAAGGCTCTTTCTAATCCGCAGAGGCCATATAAAAGTCGACCAAGGCGATCGGCCGAGAATATCGCTGCCGTACGAGCCAGTGTTGAGAGGTCCCCACGAACATCCCAAAAACGCCGTTCTCAGCAGTTGGTCATGGCTCGGTCCACTTTACAACGGATTATTCGCATTTGTTCCCGTACAAAATTCAATTGACGCAAAGAATGTTGCCTGCGGACAAGCCTCGTCGATTGGAATGGGCCCAAAGAGTCTTCGAAATGGCCGAAGATGACGAGCAATTTTGGAACAAAATTATCATGTCCGATGAAGCCCATTCCACATTGAATTGGACCGTAAACAAGCAAAATTGCCGTTTTTACTCCACTGAAAATCCTCAGGAGATTCAAGAAGTGCCTCTGACATGACGAAAAAGTCACAGTTTGGTGCGGCGTTAGTGCGAAAACGGTCATTGGGCCGTTTTTCTTCCAAAATGAAAATGGCCATGCTGTTACCATCAATCAGGAGCGTTATCGCGACATGATGACCAATTTTGTGATGCCAATTATTCGTCGAAATCGTATGAGGCAGTTCTGGTTTCAACAAGACGGCGCTCCACCGCACACAAGTCGCATAACAATCGATTTTCTGAAGAATTTGTTTCCGGGCCGTTTGATGTCGAAAAGTGGTGATTTGGACTGGCCACCGCGTTCGCCCGATTTGACGCCACCTGACTTCTTCTTCTTGTGGGGATATTTGAAGTCAAAGGTTTACGTTAACAAGCTAAGGAACGTAGAAGAGCTTAAGGACAACATTCGTGAAGAAATAGCCGCTATTCCGGCCGAAATGTTGGCAAAAACGATGGAAAATGCAGCAAAAAGAGCGCAATACGTCATCAACGCCAGAGGCGGCAATTTGAGAGATATCATATTCAAAAATTGATGTAAACAAATCTATCGGAACAAATTAAATGATTAACATTGCCAACCGCCAAATTTTTATTTTTTTCTTTGATTTTTTAAAAAAATAAACTTGGGTCCGTCGAATATGGGCAACCCTGTAATTAACGAAATGCATTCCGAAGACAATAACTTTTCTGAAAACAGTGAGAAAAACAGAACAGAGCTTACTCTATCCCGTTCAAAAACATTTTTCTCGCCGCAGGTAACGCCTAAAACTCCAAACACGCTATACATTCCTATCTCTCCAAGTCCCATAAATTTAAAAGTTGTTGAATCAAAACGTACAATTTTCACTGGTAGATCTGCCGAAACGAATGAAGATAACATCGTTTCATACATCAAAAACAAATTAAATTTAAATATTTAAATCACCGCTTTTAAATCTAAATATTCTGAAATGTGAAGTCAGCCCTCACTTAAGATTGTTATTCATCCTGAAGATAAGTACCATCCAACACTAAATATTCTGATTGCACTAGCTTTTACTGACCAAAATAATATTTCCAGTGGACATAGTACTGTTTTTCAAACTCTTTTTTTCATTTGCTGATGGACAATGTTTCCCATTTCGTGGCGGATCCGTATCCTTTAACCATCTTATCATAACCTTAACTATGCTATTTTCTATGAACTGACATTTGCCCAAGAAGGTCAGAGTTGTATAGTTGTGCTATCCGTTTCACTGAGTGGACCGAATTTTCTCGTACCTTTTCTCATTTTCTGGCGGTAAATATTTTCAAGTTCTGTTCAACATCCTATGAACTGGTATCTGTCCAAGAAGGCAAGAGAAGAATAGTTCGAAGAATAGAATAAAAGAATGCATGACCGATTTCTCTTTCCTTTCTTCAAGATGAACTAGGTCGATCATCTAGTTCTTCTAGTTCGCCCGTTCCATTCAGTGAGAGTTTGGTCCCAGAGTGTTTAGCCTGGAAAGGACGAGTGGCTGCCAATGTTTCGGTGTTTGAAGCTGATCAGCATCCTAAAAGTATCTAATCGCACCTTCAATAATGCTATTATCTATGAACTGGCATCTGTTCAAGAAAGCCAACGCTATATAATTGTGCGATCTAGTTCACTGAGCAGATCTATATTCTCATTCGTTTTCTCATTTGCTGGCGGAAAATAGGTCCGGGATCGTAGCTGATTCGTATCCTCAACATTGCTATGCTAGGTCGGAGCAGTATAGTCGTTGTTACTCTTCTTCAAGAGGAACTAGGTCGTTTGTTTAGTTATTTTTAGATTCCTTTAAGGTCGTGATCAAAGGTTCCTTTTCGTTCCAACTTTTTTCGATAAAAAATGCAAGAATTTGACCGTTCAGCCTGGGGAAAGTTCGACTGGCGGCAGGTGTTCTGCACCCTAAAACCATATTCTCAATTATTATCTATGAACTGGCATCTGTCCAAAGAGGCCAGAGCAGTACAGTTCGGCGATCTACTTCACTAGGCGGATCAATCTTTCTCGTTCATTTTCTCAAATGGAAGTAGTTCGTTGATTAATATCTCTTCACTTCATCGTTCCTTCCGGCTCAATCGTTCCCTTTGGTTCCAACCTTTTTTCGCTATGAATGCGAGAATTTTATTCCGGCGCATTCAGACTAGAAAGGGGGACTGGCTGCGAATGTTTTCGAGCTCGCAGCTCATTCGCATGGTACAAGCATCTAGGCATGCCCTCAATTATTATCTATAAACTGGCATCTACCCACGAAGACCAGAGAAGTATAGTTTTGCGATTTAGCTGAGCAGATCTATATTTTTTTGTTACTTTCTCAAGATGAAATAGTTCGTTCATTAAATTGATTTTAGTTCAGTCGTTCCTCTCACCTCAATCGTTCCTTATAGTTTATCGCTCCATCGAGATCAATGGTTCCTTTCCTACCTTTTTTTAATATCGAATGCGAGAATTTGGTATCAGGACGTTCAGTCTGAAAGGAAGCCTGCGAAAAACGTTACCGCGTTTCTTAACTATGCTCTTATCAGGGAACTGACAGCTGTCCAAGAAGGCCGGAAGAAATCTTAAATGTTTCTAATTATATCCTCAAATAAGCTATTATCTATGAACTGACATCTGTCGATAAAGGCTAGAGCTGTATAGTTGAATTATCTAGTTTCCTGAGGAACTATTTCGTTCGCCTCGTTCTTTTCATTTTAGTAGCTCTTTGGCTAGCCCTGGATTGAATGCAACGAGAGCGGCAGCAAAGATTCAGGGAAATAAAGCAAATTGGAGTCGAAAAAATACCCAAGAGCGAACAGATATTGCTCATTTAAAGGGAAGTGACAAAGAACTGTGTACTTAGGTTCAGAAAATATCGGTCTTTCCCTATCCTAATATGAGATATGTAGGTTTAGTTACCTTACAAGTAAAGGGATTTAATTATGGTTCAGATCATTAAATTAAAGTAAATATAAAACTTAGAATAGCTCTTTTCGTTCCGGAATGATCCAACTCTATAGAGCAGTTCTTGTCATAAAGACGTCTGTTCTATCTACTTGCGCTCTATCGTAGATCGACCTACCAGAATGAGATCCATAGAAACTGTCTGCTCTACGGATGTAGGCCCAAACAAGATAAAAATATTTTTCTTTCCACGAGAGTTGAATTGATTTGGGTAGTTCCGGAAGGAACAAATTCGAGTGAACTAGCTCGAGCTCTTAAGTTTATCTCGTTTCATCTCTTTTCGTTCGTCTATCTTTCTTTTTCCCAGCCCGTTGCTTCAATTTTATTTTATTATCGTTCTTTATTTAAATTTTCATATTCCGCGAAAATGAACGATTAAAGACAATTTTTCTAATGAACTATAACCAATCGGTACCATTTAAAATGGAGGAACTATGTTCAGGAACTAGTTCCTCATGAGAAAAGCAACGAGAAAGATCGACCCGCTTCGTGAACAAGATTGCTCAACTCTGGTGTTGGCATGGCATCTCCTTTTATATTCTGACGGCGGTTTATACTCAGATCGATGCCGGTCAAATGTGTTGTGACGCGTTTCTGTAGTTTCTTCTTTTTCCGCTAGGTGGGGTAGCCTTAGTTTATGTTGTAGTAATAACTGTTGGCACTAGAGGTCAATGATTAGATTATGAGTTTAAAGGTGAATTATTCATTCAAAACATCTTAGACCTAAATCAAGAATTTTTGATGCAAATTTATGCATTGAGGGCTTCCAAACAGAACTTCTTGCATTTTTTACCGTTTTTATTTAATTCCTAATAATCACCACGAATTTTAATTAACATATTTCACTTTTACAAATTCCCCAAAAATCTGGACACACAGTTCTTTTGTCACAACAATTTTATGACGGCCCTCCATGTTGTGGGAGAACCTGTACTTGGTATTGAAAGCAAATGGCCGGTAATGATAGATTTGCTAGGGAGACAGAGTGAAACCATTGAGAAAATCTTTGACAACATCTAACTTACACCAAAATTATTGACACATTTGCGATCCTCTCGATTTATGTGACGACCCCACACCGGATATGTCAGCGAGGTGGGGACAAACTGTATGGCACAAAAGTCATCGGTGGATGCTGAGATTGGCGTAGGCTGCCAGTCACCTTGTTGGAATTTTAACAATTCTCCCCTGCTCTGTGGAAGATAATCGTAAGAGTTACTAGATTTTATTTCCACAACCGTTCCCATTTCTTTCGTTCCATACAGTAATCCGATCAGTTGGTTCCACACCCTCCCATTTGCAGGCGCTATTTCCGCTGATGTAAACACGTCCCTCCCGGTACACCATTGTGATATTTGTCATATCGAATAAATCGTGTATGCCATTGTTGTCCGGCATGCCGGGGCATTTATCGAAAACTTCATCGTTGTCCAAAATAAATTCATAGAGTGCTCCATATACAGGGCCGAGCGACAGAAGGAAATAAAGCAAGGTTAGGATTTTTGAACTACGTTTTATCATCGCGGAAAATATTTATTCTATAGACGTGCTGTTCTCCATTTCAGTGTTATATATAGCGGAAATATGACCACATTCAGGCTCAAAAGCGAGGTCATAATTGTTAATCGATAAGAGGTGTAAATAGTTTAATTGTTTTCAGAACACAACCTGTCAGATAAAGATCTAAACACAGATTGGTTTTTCACACGAAACTGTGGATTCTATTATGCAATTTCGTATTGAAAGTCAGTACAGTAATTTAGGTTTGGCTGCATTATTCATAACTGCATTTTGGCTTTTGCTGACTAGAATGTTAATACAGGGTTGCCCATATTCGACGAACCCATCTGGCAACGCCATAACTTTTGACAGAGATGTCACATCGCTTGACGAGCACTTTTGGAACAAAATTATCATGTCCGATGAAGCCCATTTCACATTGAATGGGATCGTAATTAAGCAAAATTGCCATTTTTACGCCACTGAAAATCCTCAGGAGATCCAAGAAGTGCCTCTTCACGACGAAAAAGTCACAGTTTGGTGAGGCGCTGGTGCGAAAACGGTCATTGGACCGTTTTTCTTCCAAAATGAAAATGGCCATGCTGTTACCATCAATCAGGAGCGTTATCGCGACATGATGACCAATTTTGTGATGCCAATTATTCGTCGAAATCGTATGAGGCAGTTCTAGCGCTCCACCGAAAAGTCGCATAACAATCGATTTTCTGAAGAATTTGTTTCCGGGCCGTTTGATGTCGAAAAGTTGTGATTTGGACTGGCCACCGCGTTCGCCCGATTTGACGCCGCCTGACTTCTTCTTGTGGGGATATTTGAAGTCAAGGGTTTACGTTAACAAGCCAAGGACCGTAGAAGAGCTCAAGGATAACATTCGTGAAGAAATAGCCGCTATTCCGGCCGAAATGTTGGCAAAAAACGATGGAAAATGCAGGAAAAAGGGCACAATACGTCATCAACGCCAGAGGCGGCCATTTGAGAGATATCATATTCAAAAATTGATGTCAACAAATCTACTTGGAACAAATTAAATGATTAACATTGCCAACAGCCAAATTTTTATTTTTTTCTTTGATTAAAAAAAAAAAACATGGGTCCGTCGAATATGGACAACCCTGTACATTTTTGAGGAAAATTAAAAGAAATATTCGGTTCTTCTTTTGGCTCGACTGTGCTAAAAAAATGCAGTAATAAAATAGGGTCAAGGCTATATAAAGGATTTTAAAGAATTTTGGCTAAGAGCCCGAAATTCTTTTTATGCTTTGATTCGTATGAATAACCACACGGGCTAATGGACCTCAAACGAGCTTATAACTTTTTATTTTATTTTCCGTATTTTGCAAAGAAGACTTGGATAATTTATAATGTAGCAATACACAACTAAGAAACGTACCCAAATCATAGGAGTTTACTTTTCAAATCAACGGTTCATTGTATTGACTCTGCAAAAAGCGGTAAGGAACATTCCTGGTTCCGGCAGACTAGGAACTGTCCAAACGTTGGACAATATTTAAGTGGTACAGGAAAGTATTCGTAAGGATCCAGAAATATCAACTAGGAGAGGTTCGACACAACTTGGCCTCTCAAGAGGGTCGCTGCAGCGAATTTTGCATACCATAAAAATGTTTCTATACAAAATTTAGCTTGTCCAAAAATTGAAACCGACAGGTTACCAGCAACGACTTGACTATACAATTTATTTCCAGCAAAAGGCACAAGAGAATTCTTATTTTATTTATAACTTAGTTATGAGTGACAAAGGCCATTTCCAATAAAATGGGTTCGTTAACAAACGAAACTGTAGGACATGAGCTACGGAAAGCCCGAGAGTACTTCCTTAATTACAACCTGTTTAGTGTGATGTTTCTTCAGAAAGGATCAGTGGTGTTCTATATTGGGCCATGTTGGAAAATTGTGTAAGGCCAGCCGGAAAATTGTGTACGGCCAGCCATCAGTAAATATGTTTCCAACAGGACGGAACCACAGCGCAGAGTACGAGGGCCACAATGGCTCTTTGACGCAACATCTTTGGTGAAAGAATAATTTCGCGTAGAAGCTATAGGGGGGTCCTCTTGTTCCCCGGATCTAACCACACCAGGCTATTTCCTTCGGGAAAGCAAAAAATGTCGGAAATAGCATCAAATTTTAGAATAAGTTCAGATTTGTTCAAATTGGTCACATTTGGCACGAATTGTGGCCTTCAACTGGCCAATGAAACCGTAACATCCTGCCCGAATGTTGCTCTGCCGTATTTTGGCCCATTCCCGGCGAAGCGCTTGCTTGAGGTGATCGACACTTTGGAATTTTTTAGTGCCAACCTTGCTTTCCAAAATACTCCAGACACAATAGTCCAACGAATTGGTATCCGGAGATTTTGGTGGTCATTATTAGCAGGAAATGAAGCGAGAAATATCATTTAGTAACCATTCTTGGGTGGCGAGTGCTGAGTCCTGTTGCAATGTCCAAGGTCTGCGGCCAAAATGTTTGCGTGCCCAAGGCTTTAATACACCCTCCAGAATATTTTCGCGTTAATATTCGGCATTTTTTTCTAATGCCACGGTCGATTAATACGGGCGGAGAGCGACCATCGGCTGTTATGGCGGCCGGCCCACACCATCACCATGGCCGGCGCAAATTCGGCAGTTCACAACTTTTGGCCAAGCGAACCAATGCTTTAGCTCTTTTGAGTCTATTTTCGTTCAGTTGCGGTGCAAGTTCTTGCACTTTTTGGAATTTCAATGGCTTCACACCGAGCTCATTTTTCAATATTTGCCGAATGGAATATGGCGATATGTTCAAATCACGAGTCATATTTCGGCCGCTGCGACACGGGTTTCGATCAAGTCGCTTCTTTACTTTTCGAATCATTTCTGTTGATTTGGCTGTTTTCTTCCGTCCACTTTCTTGACGTCGGGCTACGCTACCAATATCACGGTAACGAGCGATGGTACGAGATACAAAAGATCTATTCACATTTAAAAGCTGGAGTGCTCTAACGATAGCCACTTCACGAAATTTTTTTTTCTGGAAAATTCTCACCAAAATGCTTTTGTACGCTTGTAAACAATATAATGAGCTGTCACTGGAATAATTTTAACAGCTGTCTGAGGAGAGGAGTGGCTTGGAAATAACAGCAGTCTGAAGTTGGTTTTCAGTTTCATCATCTCACCCTGTATATATTCAACACCGGTGATACAAACCTTGTCAATTTTCAGACTGACATTTCATGTTCGCCAATAACACCTCGGGTTGATGAAAATAAAATAAATATTCACAACTAAAATCCTCTTTTCCACACCTCTTGATGTATTTAAATGCATTACATGGCGACTGCCGACCTCATTTTCTGTCGGAAGCTTCGCCGTGATGATAGACCTGAGCTCAAATTTACTAATTTCGCTTGTCTCAATATTATCCAACGCCTCCCCTGTCTCCTTCGCCCTCTACGAATTCATTTTGGCCAATGACGAGGTTTTCGACAACTGTCCCCAAATACCGGGCAATCGGGGAATACACGATCTCTTTGATATGGCAAATGTGACATTGGTTTACAGTGAAGGTCGTGTTACCATCGGTGGCAGTGGTGTCTGTAACTGGGAGGGCATGCAACCCAACGATCGCATACGTGTAAGGCAAAAAATAATAACGGGAACAAAAATTAAAAAATCTTAAATCCCCTGATTCTCTTCCCCAGAGCAGAGCCGAATTGTTGAAATATCATCGCGGAACTTGGCAGCCAACACCATTATCGTCGGCCACGAATAATTTTTGTGAAACATTGTTTGATCCAACATCGCTGACCTATCATATGTGGGGTCGTCACATTGTTGAAAGCGAACGCAAATGTGTTAGCAACTATGGGGTAAGTTCGGAAGAAGTAATTTTGATTTTATTGATTGATTTGGTTGTTCTTTCTTTGATGCCTCCATAGCACATCTACCACTACTGCCCTTTTATGGTGGACACCGTGCTTGAGTATTGAGGGACGCCATAAACTTGTGTACCGAAGTAGGGCTTATGACTCGACGTCGAATCGGCCACGTCCCAAAGAAATATGTATTCAAGTTTTTGGTGAATTTATTAAAGTGAAATAATATCTCGATGGAGGATCATGTGAACTAAAATTTAACTACCGAAGTAGGGGAAATTGGGGTCGCCACAACTCATAAAGTGCTTGAATATGCAGTTCTAGTAGTTCTTAAGGCTAGAAAATATATAAAACCATTGTCTGGAACTTTGAATTTTGGCAAAACAATCACACATGGCGCAAAGGGTAGCGTATGGTGCAATTTTTGTAAATTAGTACCAAAATTACTAAGCTGAATCAAATTACCACTCCAGCGGGCAAAGGGACATAGGTAATATTCGGAACTTTTTTTTTTAATTATGGTATTAAGGTACTTAAGTCTGAACGTTTTTAGTTTAACTGAGGCAAGTTTTTAGGGGGGGGGGGGAAGGGGGGTGAGTGGAAAGGAAATGGAAAAAAATTGCTCGTTCTGGCTATTTCTTTTGTGTTGTTATTTTTACTCAAAAAATTAAAAAACAATGACAGAAAAGTGAGAGTGAAAAAAAAAAAAATGCTGAAAAATTGCCCTGCAGAGTAAGCAAATTGAAAAAAGGACGAGAATAAATGTCGCAAGTAAACTCGCCTATCAGAAATTTTAACATATTGAAATGTTATTTAAAAACCTAAAATTCGAATTATTCTAAAATTATTTTGCATTTAAAACTTAAAAAAAAATTGTTTTCAAAAATGAAAAGTGATTCCTCAGACCCTGCATGGACGTCTGTAAAAATTTAAAAAAAAAAATTGGAGACCTTTCAAGTGCAATTTAAAACGTGAAGAAGACTGGACTAGAAGAACGCGGAGAAGACTACAGATGTGGATTTTTACAGATTTCTAGGACCGTTAGGACCGTGCAATCGTAGATTTTTTTAAGGATTTCTAAGACTTGACATAGATGATTGACATGATGATTATAAAGGTGGATTTTCAAAGATTTCTAGAACCTTAACAAGATGACTATTAAATTGATGTTTTTTAAAGATTTCGAGGACTTCACAAAGTAGAAAATAAGGTGGATTTTTTTAAGATTTCTAAGACCTCGCAAAGATTACAATAAATGTAGATTTTTCAAAATTTCGGGGACCTAAGATGAACGAATGGATATATTTTAAAAATATCTTCGTATTCTCTTAAAATTTTTCAAAGATTTATTGGGTCACACAACGTGAATTTGTTGTTTGATTTCTAGGGCCTCACAAGGATGACTATTAAGGTGGATTATTTATAGGTTTATAGGATTTCACAAGGACTTCTTAAAATATATATTTTTTTCAAATTTTAAGGACCATTGTAAGATGGTTTTAAATGTGGATTTTTTTTAAAGAATTCGTCGATCTTACAAGTACGATTGTAAACGTGTATTTTAAGATTTCATGGACATTGCAAGGACATCTGTAAATCACGATTTTTCAAGGATTTCTAGGACCTCACAAGGACGACGGTAAGCGAGGATTTTTTAAAGATTTATTCGACATTACGAAAATGGCTATATAAAAGGATATATTAAAGATTTCTAGGACCTTTCAGGAATAACTGTGCAGGTGGATTTTTTTTAATTTCCAGGACCTTATAAAAATGACTATTTCTATGACTTTGCAAGGATGACTATAAAGGTGGATTTTTACAGAAGTCTTTAAATACGTTTTTTTTCAGTTTTTAGGAACTTTAAAGGACGATTTGAATAGTGCTTCTTTTTAAAGATTTCTCGGACCCTACAAGGACGTCTCTAAACGTCAATTTTTTAGAGATTTCTACGACCTTACAGGTGCGACTATAAACAAGGATTTTTAATATATTTCCAAGACGACAAAAGGACGATTATAAGTGTGTTTTGTTAAAGGTTTCAAGGACATAACAGGTATGGCTGCAAAGGTGTATTGTTTAAAGATTTCTAGGACCTTACATGGATGACTATATGGGTGGATTTTTTAAGTTTTTGCAAAGACTTCAGGGTCCTTACAAAGGCGACTATAAGGGTGGATATTTCAAGAATTTCTAGGACCTCACAAGGACGATTATAAACTCGGATTTTTTAATAAATTCTAGGACTTTACAAGGACGACGGTAAAGCAGGATTTTTTTTAAAGATTTCTAGGACCTTACAAGGACGACTTTTTATTTGGATTTCTAGGATCTTACATGGATAAATATAAAGTTGAATTTTTCGAACATTTCGTTGACAAGGTCGTCTTTTAACATGTTATTTTCTTATAAACTATTAAAATAAGGTAAATGGTTTATTTTAAGATTGCGATTTTTAGTAAAATGCTTATTCCTTTAACTATTTTCGCCTAAAACTAAATTTTATGTTTCTTTCAGGCGCCAACCGGATTCTAAGCAAAAAATCGTCCATAAATGGTGGTTTATAATGAATTTCGATGAGGAATATTTCTTCTTTTAGTACTTTTCCAAAAAAATAAAGCATTAATTGAGATTTTGATTTGGAAAGGTGTTAAATTGGCAGTGAAAAACGTAAAAACATAATTTGTACTTTTCATATATAAATTTCGAATGTATTTTTCGGAAAAACGGTCATAGATAGATGCATACTTCATTCTTAGGTTTATAGTGGAATTTTGTGAAGAACAATTCTGTCTTTAAAATTTTTGTCTAAAACGAAAAACAATTTTCTCAAAGAAGAAACTTTCTTTGTGTTTATTGGTAACATTGAAGCAAGTTTTTTTTTCTTGATAGCTAGCAGATATAGGGATTTATTTTCTTTGGTAACTTATAGTGAAATTTTGTGATGAATATTTCTGTCTTTGACTTCATTCCTCCAAAATGTTGTTTTGTGGGAGAATTTTGCCAAAACTCACATAAGGTACGGTTTTAACCCAAAAATGTGTTTTTAATATTTATGAATTCTTGGCCGGTGAATAATGTCGCTAAAGTCATAAAAATACCGGATATCGGGAGGTACCGTTATATGGGGACTATACGAAGACGTGGGCCTGCATAGACAATTTTCTACCTTAGGCTGTAGTATTCATTACGAACTTCAAACAACAAATGTAAAACAATTCCGTTGAACAATGTCGCTAAAATCATCGAAATACCGAATATAGGGAGGCGCCGTTATAAGGGGGCTATACGAAGACGTGGACCTGCACAGACAATATTCTGTCTTAGGCTGTAGTATCCATTTCGAACTTTAAATACCAAATTTGAAACAATTCCGGTCAATAATGTCGCTAAAATCATCAGAATACCGAATATCGGGAGGTATCGTTATATGGGGACTATGCGAAGACGTGGGCCTGCATAGACAATTTCTGCCTTAGGCTGTACTATCCATTGAGAACTTCAAATACCAAATTTGAAACAATTCCGGTAAATAAAGTCGCTAAAATCATCAAAATACCGAATATAGGGAGGCACCGTTACAAGGGGGCTATACGAAGACGTGGACGTGCACAGACAATTTTCTATCTTAGGCTGTAGTATCCATTTCGAACTTCAAATGACAAATTTGAAACAATTCCGGTGAATAATGTCGCTAAAATCAGCAAAATACCGAATATCGGGAGGTACCGTTATATGGGGCTATATGATAACGTAGACCCACATGGCCCATTTATGAACTTAACCTGACTACTGGCAAAATATACACGTGTGCAAAATTTTTGAGTCCTCTATCTTAATTCGTTCGAAAGATAGCGTGATTACAACAGACAGACAGACACACAGACGGACATGGCTAAATCGTCTTAGAATTTTACGCTGATCAAGAATATATCTACTTTGTTGGGTCTGTCATTAGTATTTCGAGGAGTTACAAACGGAATGACAAAATTAATATACCTCCATAGTATGGTGGAGGGTATAAAAATGCCTTCTAGACTAAATTTCCGTTTCTGCAGCCTGTCACGCCCTCACTTTAAAATCGCCTAAAACTTTGTCCTTCCCATAAAGCCCCTTCCATCCAAGTAACCCATAAAAATTTAATAGTAAATGCCGGTGATTTTTCCCTTGTATAAACCTCCGCTAAATTCGCAAAGAAGTATCCATAATCCTTTTTCACATAAATTTAAAACATTTAACGGAAAATGTGCGTAATTTAAGTAGCATTTTCTGGGAATATAAAAGAAACTGCGGGCAAAAAAAAAACTCTCAAAAAAACAAAAAAACAAGGAATAAAAATGCTAAAAATAACAATAATTTGTAAAAACTGAAAAGAAGGCGGGAGGACCAAAATGATAAAAAAGAAATGAACGCACTCCATAAGCTAGAAATCCCAGCTACAATTCATTTGCTACGAGAGCCACAAAAAAAGAACAGAAAACCTAACATTGCAAATGGCGAGAAATAATAAAAACAAGAAACGTTTTCGTTTTATATGGCAGTCAAAGACTATAAAAAAACCCCAACAGCAGCACACAGCTCATCCAGGAGAATATGCGAAAATCCCTGTGGGTGAATTACATTCAGATGGAGCTGAGAACTCATAAACAGAATGGGCATCAAAAGCTGCTGGTGAAACAAAATATAACAAAAAGCTCGAAGAAAAATAGACGAACAAATCATCAGCATCAATGGTAGCAGAAGTAGCAGCAGCAGAATCCAGCAAATGGCATTGGCTTGACTGGAAGGCAAGCAGGCAGCTCCATTGGAGTTTTCATCCTCAGGCAGCCATACTGGAATATAATGACGATGGATGCCTGCCTGCCTGCCAGTCAGCCTCAATGCAACGATGATGAGCTGCAATGATGAAGTCTAGCTGAGAAAAAAAGCGAGCGACAATAAATGCAACAATAAAAAACTGCTTTTAGATTTTTGTTATTCTGTTCTTCTTTTATTTGTGCAGAAGACTAAAACAAAACAACGATAGTAGAAAACGTCACCGAGTTAGTTGGGCTAGACGACAACGCCAACAACGTCGTGGAGGATGACGACGACGAGTATAGACAACGCTGGGTCGTAGCGTCTGACTAAAACACATCCCATTGAAATTGATTGAGAAAGGAACTAAATGGAAAAGCGGCATGAAAACAAACTGTGCGTTGTTTTTCTTTTTTCATGTTTTTTTTTCTATTTTTCAGTTTTTTTTTTTTTTTTTTTTTTGGTTAGCAAGATATATAACTCAGGGCAAAAAACGCCCTTTCAAATACACTCGAGGAAAAAAATTAGAACTGATTTTTTCTATGGAAAAAATGCCTCAGAGGCTGAGGCCTGATATTTTTTTATAGACAAAAATGCCCCAGAGGCTGAGGCCAAATTTTTTTCTATAAAAAAAATGCCTCAGAGGCTGAGTCCCGAATTTTTTTCATATAGAAAAAATGCCTCAGAGGCTGAGGCCTGATTTTTTTCTATAGAAAAAAAATGCCTCAGAGGCTGAGGCCTGATTTTTTTCTATAGAAAAAAATGCCTCAGAGGCTGAGGCCTGATTTTTTTCTATAGAAAAAAATGCCTCAGATGCTGAGGCCTGATTTTTTTCTATAGAAAAAAATGCCTCAGAGGCTGAGGCCTGATTTTTTTTCTATAGAAAAAAATGCCTCAGATGCTGAGGCCTGATATTTTTCTATAGGAAGAAAATGCCTCAGAAGCTGAGGCCTGATATTTTACTATAGGAAAAAAATGCCTCAGAGGCTGAGGCCTGATTTTTTTTCTATAGGAAAAAATGCCTCAGAGGCTGAGGCCTGATTTTTTTTCTATAGAAAAAAAATGCCTCAGAGGCTGAGGCCTGATTTTTTTTTTCAATAGAAAAAAATGCCTCAGTGGCCTCATTTTTTTTCAATAGAAAAAAATGCCTCAGTGGCCTGAGGCCGGTTTTTTTTTTCTATAGACAAAAATGTCTCAGTGGCCTGAGGCCTGATTTTTTTTCTATAGACAAAAATGCCTCGGAGGCAGAGGCTTGATTTTTTTCTATAGACAAAAATGCCTCAGAGGCCTGAGGCCTGATTTTTTTCTATAGACAAAAATGCCTCAGTGGCCTGAGGCCTGATTTTTTTCTATAGACAAAAATGCCTCAGTGGCCTGAGGCCTGATTTTTTTCTATAGACAAAAATGCCTCAGTGGCCTGAGGCCTGATTTTTTTCTATAGACAAAAATGCCTCAGTGGCCTGAGGCCTGATTTTTTTCTATAGACAAAAATGCCTCAGTGGCCTGAGGCCTGATTTTTTTTTCTATAGACAAAAATGCCTCAGTGGCCTGAGGCCTGATTTTTTTCTATAGACAAAAATGCCTCAGTGGCCTGAGGCCTGAGGCCTGATTTTTTTTTCTATAGACAAAAATGCCTCAGTGGCCTGAGGCCTGATTTTTTTCTATAGACAAAAATGCCTCAGTGGCCTGAGGCCTGATTTTTTTCTATAGAAAAAAAATGCCTCAGAGGCTGAGGCCTGATTTTTTTCTATAGAAAACAAGTAAAAATCCGAAGAAGGCCGAACTTTGAATACCCTCCACCATTTCGAACGAATTTGGCAATTTATAAAAAAAACAATAAAATCCGTTGTTAGCTGTTATATTAGGGTCTATACGACGACATGGACCGGCATAGGTAACTTTCGGCATAAGCCATTACAATATTCAAATGCGAAACTTAAAAAAAGTCAGTGAAAATGCAGCTAAAATCATCAAAATACCGAATATCTGGGGGCTATAGGGAGACGTAGACCTGCACATACAATTTTCCGTCTTAGGCTGTAGAATGCGTTACGAACTTCAAATGCCAAATTTGAAACAATTCCGGCGAAGAATGTTGCTAAAATCATCAAAATACCGAATATAGGGAGGTTCCGTTATATGGGGGGCTATACGAAGACGTGGACCTGCACAGACAATGTTCTCTAATAGGCTGTATCATGCGTTAGGAACTTCAAATACCAAGTTTGAAACAATTCCGGCGAATAATGTCGCTAAAATGCTCAAAATACCGAATATCGGGTGGTATCGTTATATGGGGTTTATACGAAGACATGGACCTGCAAAGACAATTTTCTGTCACAGGCTTTAGCATCCGTTACGAACTTCAAATACCAAGTTTGCTACAATCCCGGTGAATAATATCGCTGATATCATCAAAATACGTATATCGGGAGGTACCGTTATTTGGGGGCTATAAGAAGACATGGGCCTGTGCAGACAATTTTCTGTCATAGGCTGTAGCATCCATTTCGAACATCAAATACCAAAATTGAAACAATTCCGGTGAATAATGTCGCTAAAATCATCAAAATGCAGAAGTACTGTTATATGGGGGCTATACGAATACGTGGACCTGCACAGACAATTTTCCGTCTTATGCTGTAGTATCCATTACGAACTTCAAATACCAAATTTGAAATAGTTCCGGTGAATAATGTCGCTACAATAATCGAAATACTGAATATCGGGAGATACCG